TTCTTCTTTTAAACGAAATCGACTCGTTGTTTATTTCTATCGAATAGTGTGTGTGTGTGTGTATATATATATATATATTAGATCATTTGGTTTGATCGTTCGTAAGCAGAGAGATATTAATAAATTCGTAATTTTATTTGTAAATTTTTTTAAAAATTACAATAACACAGGCAATTGGGTACGATAGGTTGTAGATAATAGGAAAATACAAAAAAGAATACAAAAGCGTGCTAGAAACACATTTTTACGCCGGCATGTAAATTTAATCGTCAAATACGTGTTTAAAGGAACGATAATTACGGAGCCTGTGAAAGTACGAAATATCTTGATGAGCATTTTACAATTTATGTGCACGCGATACGTGAAAAGCTTTTATATAGCCGAGGGAATTAGCGTTATTTGCACAATGGATTACTAATAAATATTGTATATTAATTGCTGCGTATTTTTTATAAACAATTTGATTTATAATAAAAAGGAGGCAAATTTTTTTTTCCATTTGTATTTTAAATTTCTATAAATCATTTGGATGATAATTTAGATATCTCAACGTGTGTTGAATTTATGACGAGCGTACTTCCTCGAAATTAATCGTGATAATATACAAAAGCAATTTCTCAAAATCATATTAAATATATACGAATAAATACATATGAAATATTACGTTAATACTTATCTTGTTTAAAATTAGATGTATATATTCCTCATATATGTTTAAAATAACTTTAAAATATTGAAAGAATCATACGTTTCAAAGGAAGTATCGTGAGAACGGAATTTTCATTAAATAGGATACATGTATATTAAAAGAATAAGACGTTAAAAAAAATATTTAATCCATTCCTTTTGCATACGCTTAAATCACAATAAAAATGAATAATTAATGGTCAGTAATTATATCTTATGACATGCAAAAATTAACATTCTTAACGTTAATTAATTACATTAAGATGAGCGATTGTCTAAACGAACGACAACTCGTATCCAATAATAATATACATTTATTGTTAACAATAATCCAGACAGTATTCCATTTCAAGTTATCATCGTTCATGGAAAATATATCACGACGTTAAAGATACATCCGTTGCAGATTGATTCTACGTTGAAAAAAAACACTGATCCATTCCAAGATTAATAATTAATTTTTGCACACAACGCAACGTTAATCCGGCGAGGTTTCCACCGAGGAATTCTTCCACGCGGAGAGGAGTTAATTGAGCATTTTTTCGCGCTACCATTAAAAAAGAATGAGAGCGATAAAAATACCATTAACAAGATGCAAACGCTTATTCACGGAAACGAAGAAACTGACATTTACGCTATGCTTTTTTCACGCTCCTCTTTTCCTTTTCTCTCCTCTCCTTCTTTTTTTCTTCTTCTTCTTCTTCCTTCTCCTCTTCCTCCTCTTCTTTTTTCGACGAAAAAGAGAATCTTACCGGGTTTATCTTTCTTGATTGTTTTAACATCTTCAACTGTTTCGGCCAGGTGAGCCGTAAAACAGACGCCGATTTCTCCGCTTCTTACGAAATCGATACGATGTAGCTTCCCCGCAACTTTCCCCCCTCCCTCTTCCCCCGACAAATGCAAATGCAAGATGGCAAAATTGGCTGTTAAGAATGAAATTATTTTGCGTCTTATGTTGCGGTTCGAACCATCCTCTCCACCTCGCGGATCGTGGTATTCTTGAGAAGAAACGTGATTTCCTCGACACGTGAAATTTCCCTTCGATCAATATTTCGATCGTGATAATTAATTAGTTAATCTAAGCTAAT